CAGGAATGCTGATGGACCTTCTTTCCCCCTTGTTTCCATCTGCCTTTCTGGTTATAGTATGCCTAGGGAGCTTATCGAGATCATTTAGTGAGTGGCGTAATAAACATCAGATGCTGAATCGGAGCTTCATCATTCTGTTTTAGTTGGGAATTCAGTTCTAATATTTTATATTTTCCCCCGTTTGAATTAGCTGGTGTTGCAAGTGGAGCGACTAGAGCAGCTCTAACTCAGCACTTTGCGCTCCAAGAAAATGCAGCAGACATATCCGCTAAGGTACTTTTAACCCTTTTCCCTTGTGGAGAATTCGGAAACTAAAGTGTGAACCTTTAGCCATTGCTTATATATTTATATATCGGCAGGAGGGGAGCCAGGAGACAATGGCAACAATGATGGGCATGGCACTAGGAATGTTGCTGGCTCGGATTACCACTGGAAACCCTTTAGCTATTTGGTTATCATTTCTTTCGCTTACTATGTTTCACATGTACGGTAAGTTACATCGAGATTTAGGTGTTTCTGTCTGAGAATTAAACCCATGGGTGTATTTGGAAATGGTACTTAACAGATTTATGTATAATAAGTTGGTTCATATCTTACATCACACAACTCATCTGTTTTACAATATGTAGACCATCCCTAAATGCTAAATCAAATGAAAATGCCTCTCATTCTTCATCTGATTGTTTTCCTTGCTAGTAATTTGTGGCTTAAAAAGGGCCTGGTCTTTTTTTCTTCTGCATGTAGCAAACTACAGAGCTGTCCGGTGTCTTGTACTGAACTCATTGAACTTCGAGAGGAGCTCCGTTCTTCTACAGAATTTCATGGAAACCGGCCAAGGTAATTAATATTTAATTGTCAAATGTGTCATCCTTATTCTTTGGATTGCATTTCCCAAAACTTTCATGCAACATAAACTACTGTTTCGATGGCTCGGATCTTTTTTATTAAATGGGTTTCCTGTTTTCCATGGTATCCACTATCAGCCTCTTCTATTAACTGAATATGCTACCAGTTCTCTCCCCCAAACAGGTTTCCTCAATGGAGCATGTATTGCCCGTGTGGATCACGTCGGTAAGGTCAAGTAATTTGAAGTTATTGCACAGAAGGGTACAATTGGGTGTAAGAATTTCTTCGCTTCCTCGCCAACAAATGTAAGTCTCAGCAAATGAGATCACTGCAAAGGGCTGATATATCAGACTTTTTTGTCCAACTTCTACAACCCACCAGCTTCATGAACTCTGTTCCGTTTCAGTTATATCTTTGTTAAGTTTTCTTGTTAATATTAGGATGCTGCTGCTGAAAGGTGCTGGGGATTCATACAAGAAAGGTCCAAACTCAATTATAACAAACACATTTTTCTGGCTGTTCACACGAAAAGATTTAGCATATTTCTGAGCTTGTCTATTGCATCATTGCAGACAAGTACTTATTGGTTCACAGAAAGGGAAACGTTAGTGTGATCCTTCACAAAGATTCAGCGGCCACGGATGTGTTACAGTCGTATACTCACGGCCTCGTTTTGGCGAATCTTATGGACGGAAGCAAGGATTTGTATTCAGAAGGGCAGTCATGGATGGATAAACACTATGAAGAATTTCTAGAGAAGGTAATGAAATCACCAAATTTCATCATCATCATCTTCTTCTTCTCCAGCAAATGTATTCATATCCAGTGATTTTGCAGAGAGGTTAAAAGATTTCGTTCTTATTTTTACAGATGAAGAGAGCGGGTTGGAAAACAGAGCGTCTACTCTCGCCTTCCATTACGTGGAGAGCAAGTTGGATCTCTCATACTTGTGACGGAAAGATTGATTAGAGTGATGATATGATGATCTCTTTTGCTTTGGTATGGCCTCTTACTGGATTTCTTAGTTTTTTTCCTGGTTTTGGTGCTTGAGCTCTCACCAACCATAACCCCAAATTCCTTACTTTATCAGCTGTAGATTTCCATATGAGCTCTCTGACATTTTGCGTATGTGTATATGCTTCTCTCTGTGTGTGTGTATATGTATATATATATATATCAGTATGTCTGTATATAAATGTGATGTTCTTTACTAGCGTAACCAACAGTTTTCGGATACAAATGTGAGCAGTCCTTTACTAGTAACCAATATCATTGCAAATAGAGGGAAAACGTGAAGTTTGCAGAATTGTTGAGATATATATGTCCGATACACGTTACTTGTTTTTTGGGGTCTGAAGTCGATTGTATGTCCACTATCAAAGAAATATGTTTTATTTTGTTTTTGATGTTTTCTAAAAACTATTCAAATTTGAAAATTTACAATGTCTATTTATATGATTTTGTGCATAAATGTCTATTCAACTCATCAAAATTAGGTAGAAGATTCCATATCATGGAGAATGCATTCAACAAAGAGAAATTATGTAACAAAAAAAAAAACAAAGCTCCAAAATTAAATATTATTCTTTGATATTGTTTCACATAAAAAAAAACCCATCTAATGTAACATCGCTTCAAATATTTCATCATATATTTCTCACGTATGATATATGTGTATATATACAGTGTTCTTGGGCATATCATAGTAAAAAGCTTACTTCCGGTGGCCGGAGGAAGCCATGAGAATGGCCACCGCGGCAACGAACATAGCCAACATGCTCACCAGAAGTACGTACGTCCTCCGTGACGACCTCCGATACTCCCCGAAGAATATTATTCCCCAAAATGTGCTCACCAATGGAAGTGCCTTGCGAAATCACAAAACCCTATTATTCTAAATGCAAAATCCAAATCGAAACTGTTCAAAGAATGGATTTTTATCAAATGGGTCACGATGGGTTTGCAGAATAAGAATCACAAAGACTCCCAATGCAAACCTAAGACAGAACAGTTCCAAGAACGGTACACTCCTAACCCGGCTAATCTAAACGCAAAATCGAAATCGAAACTGTTCAAAGGATGGATTTTGACCGAATGGGCATTTCTGGGTAATGACGGGTTTGAAGAATAAGAATCACAGAGACTCCCAATGCAAATCCAAGGTAGAAAGAACAGAGTTTTGTTCGAACCTGGACAGAATCTGCGGCTGCGTATCCGGCAGCTTGACCGCCCATGAACTGGAGACCGTTCCCGAAACCGCAGAGGAAACCAGCAAGAATGGCCCAACACCTGTCTTCACAGTCTGTGAAATACGCCTTTAGGGATGATCTAGGCAAGCCTACCACGGGTCGGTAGAGGAAGATGAGGTTGAGAACGAGAGCTATGATGAAACCGGCGATGGTGAAGTAGAAAAACGCCGTGTAGACGACCAGTTTAGGCACGCCGTTTGCCAGGGTTTGCCACTGGTCGTTGGTTGCCAAGTTGAATGCCGGAGAGAAGAGAGAGAGGCAGATTCCGGCGAAGACAGTTATTGACAGCCCGATCAGTGTGCTCTTTCCGAACACCTGCGAGGAGGACATGAGTTTTACACCCATTTCTATCTGATATATCTGGAAAGTTTCAAACTTCGATTTTTCGGGTTATGGCTGTCTCTTTCTAATGAACCTTGATAGCCCTTTTGTTCTCCAGCTCTATTAGGAATCCCGCGGTTCCTGCTTTCGCCTTCCCTGTTGTTCCATCTTGACACTCGACATCTGTTTCCTCTGTTAAGATGAAGAACAGAACAAGTGAGTTACTGGATAATTCAAGAGCAGAAACCGTTGTAATGGGATGCACGAGTGCATTACCTTTTTCAGGGTTGTCTCCTTTTGTTATGGAAGTATAGAAATCTCTGAAGCAACAACATGAGATCAGATAAGATATTGTCAGTAGACAATTCCAAGGAAATGAAAATGGCTGACAAAGTGCTTGCTTACTCTGTCTCGACTGCGCATTCGCTCTGCAAATTCTCGAGCTTCACTTTGACATCAGCTGCATTGGACGAGTGAACGGCTGCACCGAGAAAAACAGCGACCAAGAAGCAGCCAACGCCGGGAAAAAGGAGCGAGGCTTTGTTGATCTTGCCGTCCAAGAAGTAATTCAGCGTCGTGCCTTCAAGCCATACAACGAAACAAAACGAACAGACAAGGATCACAGCCCATCAGTCATTCAACCCACCTGAAACCGTTGCCTATCATACAACTGAAAGATAGTGAATTGCGGATTCTGAAAGTAACCTATGACGACAGTGATGCTCGCTGTGATAACTTCGGTAACTGATAACCCGACAAAGGCGAAAGCGTATTGCGTTGCCAAATTGCCAACGCTGAGAAGCACGCCGCCGGCAACAGCTAGCAATACAGAGGGCCAGTTATCCTGCATCACCCATGAACAAATTCACCCTTGGGACTTGGGAGAAGAAATCAATATACTTTCCTTTCTCAAATGCAAGTAACAAGAACCCTTTTGACACATGAGGAAGTATAGAAGGTACCTGAGAGAGTTGGGTGGTGAAGTCAGGGGAACGAGGGGTGCTGGTGCCGAACTCGCCGAGAGTGAAGGCGATTACGACGGCGGCCAAGAGATTTGCGGTGGTGAAGTCAAGAAACGTGTGTTGAGGGAGACGTCCTCTCCTCTCCAACAGCGTCAGAATCGCTGGCCAACTCCCCAAGCATATCAACGACAGTATCATACATCCCATCGCTCCTCCTTTGCTCCCCACCACATACATCTTCCTATCCTCGTTCGTGTCTCTGTTCTTGTTGTTGTTCTTCTTCCCTTTTGGAATCTGCACAAAGTAAGACAACACACAGATTCTTATTGTTCTTGTTCTCGCTCTTGTCCTTGTTTCATTTTGCACAGAGCAAGATGACACACAGATTCTTCTCCTCTGCTCTTCTTGTTGTTCCCTTTTGGAACCTGCACAAAGCAAGACAACACAGATTCTTATTGTTGTTCTTGTTCTTGTCCTTGTTACGTTTTGGACACTGCAGAAAGCAAGACAATACAGACAGATTCTTCTTCTATTTATGCCTTCCCATAAGACCGGGCGGTGCTCTCTCTCTCCACCGCTTTAAGATACCGGTTTAGACAACCAAAGTAAACCGGGTACTGATAAGATCCGAGACCCAAGGAGTGACCTCAGATACAAAGTGGGACCGTGGTCTGCACCAAAAGTTAAAAAAGCATTGGACCAAGAGGCGATAGCTGTACCTGTACTGCAAGGAGAAGCTTACATGTGTATGGTCATGATTTTTGGCATTTGTGTACGAATGGTTAGTATTTAGAGACAGCTCGTGGTTGTTTTCCGCCTACTACTACCCAAAAAAAAAACTTCTTTTGTTATATTGGAACTGAATAATAATAAGCTACATGCAAAAATCTAGTCACTGTAGGTTTCTTTGTGTTCACATATAAGATGATACGTTACTAGGAAGTGGAGGATGAAGTTGTAGTGACGTAAATACGTACACCACTTGTACAGATTATGAAACTGAGTTTTGAGGCTTTTGGGTACTGAGTTTGTTTCGATTCAGACAGCTTTTTGCGTGTTTGTCCCCACCACTTGCGAGTTCCCATCATCGGCTGCATTTTTGAGCAAGTTCCCTAGCAATCTTTGATCAAATACCATGTTTGGTACCTGCACATGCCGATTGTTTAGAGAGAGAGAGGGGAGAGAGAGAGGGGGGAGAGAGAGAGAGAGAGAGAGAGAGAAGAACAAAACCTTGTCGCCGAAGAATATTTTAGTGTTGTTGGTGATGGCCTCGATGAATCTGAGCTCAAGAAATTCGGGGGTAAGCTTCATCTTGTTTGCTTCAGCTTCTTTGAGTACACTGAGATATGATCACGACAATGGAGAATATATATGTTTTCTAAGTAAGGTTTCTCAATTTGGTTATCTTGTGGGAGAAGTAAGGGAACTCGTGAAACGAAAAAAGGAAGAAAAAAATTGAATATTACCGATAGTAATCAGCATCTGCAAGGCTCTTTTGACGAGCTAGGTACATCTGATTCTCGATTTCTTCTTCTCTCCGGGCACTGTCTTTCTCCATCAGCTTCTGTTCCATCAGAATCTTGCTAACTTTGGCATTCTTCTCAGCCTCACTAATGGCCATTATTTTCTTTGTTTCAGCCTCTTTCTCAGCAACTCTCTGCTTCTCCATAGCAATCAAAACCTTCACATAATTAAGTTCAGAGAGTGAGAAGTCTACAAGTACCTTTGCATGTCTAAACCTAAACACTTATCAATATTAATATTCACCAGAGCTACAACCGAAGCATGATCGCATAAAGGACTTTGTACCAGGATGGCACAATGTGTGTGATGATATTTCCAGTAAATTTGTCATCCAATGTCAGATTGAATCACTCGGTTAAGAAGGTGTACCTTTGTGCGTTCCTCTTCCATTTGCTCGAAGTTCCGCCTTACACTCTCTGGGATTTTTGGCTTTGTAACACGGACACTAATGATCTCTATTCCTGGAGCGTAACGTGTGCAGTCAGCTTGAAGAGCATCTTTCATTCTTTCATCTATCTGAAAGACATCCGATCAAGTAAATTAGAAGATAAGTCATTATACATAACCCTATAAGTTTGCCACGATATAGAGATCATTTGAAGAAGCTTGACATCGATGATCAGTCATTTCTATAAACCTAATATACCAACTGAACGTTAACTACAACAAGCTGTTCCAGATAGCATTTGTAAAGCACCAAAAACTGTAAGACTTAACAGATTTTGCAAAATACCAATGACTGTACGGTTTATGTGACAATAAGACATTCTCCGCGAGGAGTACAGAACCAACATTAATGAGGAAGAAACATGGTGAACAAAAACTTTCCTACTTGGAAGGTCAAGATCCTCACTTACTTGATCAAAGATATCAATGTAGACTTGCTGAAGCGAATGAGAGCTGCAGAACTGGTTGATCTCATGATGGATCTTGTCGTATATCCATGTGTTATCATAGTCCACACCATAATTCAACAAAGTCTCATACACATAATCCTTACGCAGCCGATTAACAACCTGAAACATACATTAAGGTCAGTAGTGGTGACTATGAACATATTTTGAACAGCGGTAATGCTAGCTTAAAACAAAATCTCAAGGCCTTACTTCTATCTTATCAAAGGTGATCATGACACCTCCTTTTGTACCACATGGTATATCCTTCACCTGAGAAGTCAGAGAATGAATAAGCAAAAGGCCACTAGCATGAACATCTCCAATCCATACGGAAGAAATTTACCTGGTCTGTTTGAAGGGTCACTTGAACAGGCTCATAGTGGGTGATGAAAGGCAACTTCAGATGAAAACCTGAGTGTTATAGCTGGTTCAAGCAGGAAACAGTCGAAGAATGGAATAAAAATGACACATGTGGAAAGGATGATGGTCGTACCAGGCTCATTAATTGTGTTTAGAAGTGCACCGCCTCTCCAATATGCTCCAACATGACCTTCAGGAACTTGGTGCAGAATGGATGTGGGAGACATAACCTGATTGCCATGATATATGTAAAGTTTTTTTTCCCAAATCACAAATAGATTCGTAATCAATAAGATACACCAAACTTCCATAAACTGAAATATAAACTATTAAAAGAGACTGCAAACATTTTCAATTCTAATTGTTACGCCTTTGAAACAGGTGAGTGATTAAAAATGGCATTTCTCATCCTCCCACATAAAAAACAAAAATGAAATGCAGAACAGGTTCGAAGATATAAAGAAGCAACAAACAATACATATACATAGGCCAAGAACTTAACCAAAAAGTAAGTAGCTTGATGAAACCATCATTATGGGAGCTTGAAATCGACAACACAGTCTGAGAGCTACTGCGAGAAAAAAAAAGGGCTACTTAAAAGGGTAAGGAAGCAAAAATTGTCACAGATTTATTTACATTCACATTAAAAAAAAAAAAACAATGCCATTGCCTTGTAACTAATACGAATCCCCTGAAATGTTGTAGATGAAGAGCATGGCATAAAATTTCGCAGTGAAGCAGATCCGATGAGTATCACAGAAGAAGATAGCGAACCCATAATCCCAACGTGACGAAACATAATCTCATTCGAGAGAACATTGAACTCATCATCGAGGACACAACAGAACATGAAAACCGACAATAAAAACACAGCTCTAATTTCAGACAGAACCTCCAGCATCCGATCGCAAGTAATAAGCGAACCAAAGAATCACATCTAAGAATGGAATGAAGAAATTCGACGCAGCGAGAAGTATATGTATATACACTAGCATCGATTCTCGACAGAGATTGAGCGAGAGAGATGATATACCACGGTGGCGATGGCGAGAAAAATAGCGAAAACGGCAATAATGGAAGAGAAATCTCCTCCGGGCGGAGACGGCGGTGGGCGCTGGCCAGTTTCCGTCCTCCTTTGCTGAGTATCCATGGCGAATCTGCTTCACTACAATCGCGACGACCGGGAATCGTACGGTCTTTTCTTTTTGCCACTATAGTGAAGGATTTGACCATCAAGTTTCGAAATGGGAATATTTATAGCGTACATGAGGATACAACGTCCGCATATGGTATGAAATGAATATTGGCCGTTAGATGTAATCTCTACGATGAAGGTTTTAGATGTGCAGCTGAGATTCTTCTTTCGCCATTTCTCTGTTACCAAGCCAGAATACTTGACGTGCCATGTGACAAAACGGCATCGTTCGGATCCATCCAATGAATCGGCGTCGAAATGCCACGTGTCTTCTCTCTCCTCTATCAAGTACCAAACCGTTGAGCACGAAGTGAGGGAGAGAAGAATCATCGCCTTCACCGGAAGAGGAGCAAAGAGACGATGCTCTCGGCGGCGACGGTGAATGCTCGGCCTTTTTATGCGGCAGAATGTAGAAGGCGACGGCGGTTTAAAGTGACGGCGGAGAAGTTTCCAGCGTTTCTGCCGAAGGAAGTCGAGAGAATCAAGGACACATTTGCTCGGAATCTCGCCGCGAGAATCAAGAGGCTTCCTGTGCAAGTAACTTCTTCTTCTCCGATTTTTAGTATCATGAAATGTCCAAATTTATGATGGGATGCGATCATTTCGTAATAAGTTTGGCAATTTGAGTTCGTCTGTCTAAAATCGGAGAAATTGGAATTGAATTCAATTCTGCTTATAAACTGAATTCTCATACACAACCAAGTTTTCTGATTTTTTCCATCCACTAAGAAGTAACGATGATCATCTAGACTCTTATCATGTAGTCATGGAATGCGAAATATGTAGGTTAGCTTCGCAGAAAACAGTATCATGAGCAGTTGCGTGACGCCGCTGGTGCAAACTGAGGGAAACCCTGTGGTTCTTCTACATGGATTCGACAGGTCCGGCTTCTTGAATTATAATGCCACAGTTTCTTGGGGCAGTCTTTGGAGATAACTCTGCATCACAGTTCTTGTTTAGAGTGGAGATACACTTATCCGCTGCTCGAAGAAGCTGGTTTAGAAGCATGGGCTTTCGATATCCTTGGCTGGGGTTTTTCTGATTTAGGTTTGTCAAATCTTCTTGCTTGCTTTCTTTCCTTCTTCAGAACTCCCAATGTTTTCAGTCTTTGTACTCATCTTCTGTTTTCCTCTTCATCTTAGAGAAACTTCCTCTGTGTGATGTAGCGTCGAAGAGAGAGCATTTCTACCAGGTCTCGTATTTTATACTTCCTGCAGTTTTCTGGTTTTCTTTGGATTCATCCCTCGCTGTTCTCTTTAATGCTCGAAAACCATGTGATACCTTAAACTCCGGAATTCAGCAACATATTACCTATATTGTCTGCTATGTTTGTTTTGGTTAGAAATAGATTGATATGACTGTCTGAACTGAAACTACTCTGTTTTCAGTTATTTCCCATACTTGTGTGCTTCATTTAGGCTGATAGAGGAAATCCGATTTATCTAATATGATCTACAGTTTTGGAAATCTCATATTAAAAGGCCGGTGATTTTGGTCGGACCTAGTCTCGGTGCTGCCGTTGCGATAGATATTGCTGTCAAACACCCAGATGCGGTACATCCGTCATAGCATCTGATGTAATCGAATGAGCTAGGTGCCAGAAGATATTAACCACGAGAAATGTGAGTTTCAGGTTGAGTCTTTGGTATTGATGGACGCAAGTGTTTATGCAGAAGGCACTGGAAACCTGGCAACTTTGCCCAAAGCAGCAGCTTATGCTGGGGTAAATTCTCAGAAAAATATGTACATGAAACCGTTGATCATGCTTGGGCGATCCAGGGGAAAAGTCTTTGCATCATTTTAACTCCGCTCTATGGTTTTTGGGCCAGGTATATCTATTGAAGAGTATTCCGTTGCGGTTATACGTCAACTTTCTTTGCTTCAGTGGTATCTCACTGGAAACTAGCTGGGACTGGACTAAGGCAAGTGAGCCTTTAATAGTTCTTACAGTGTTAAAATTGGAAATTAGCTTTCATTATAATTTCTGCAAGCTTATATAGATTGGGCGTTTGCATTGTCTGTACCCTTGGTGGGAAGATGCAACTGTGAGTTTTATGTCAAGCGGGGGATACAACGTCACTTCTCTTATCGAAAAGGTCTTTTCAAAATCGTCGTCCATCTTATCAATTCATCCGTTGTTCCCTTCTTCTGAATTGCAGGCTACTAACAGTTTCTGTCTGCAGGTTTCGCAGAAGACTCTTATACTGTGGGGCGAGGATGACCAAATCATTAGCAGCAAGCTCGCTTCGGTTAGCTACAGCAAACATTATCTCTGCATTTTTTTTTGGTTTTTAGATTATCTCTGCATTTACTTTCGCCTCTAAGGGAAATGACAAGATTCACTCAAAATATCATGTCGTTTAAGGCCTTTTTCTTTTTCTGGATCACTTCCTCTTTAATGCAGAGACTGCACGGCGAATTGTCAAACGCTCATGTGAGACAAATACCAGAATGCGGCCATCTTCCCCATGTAGAGAAACCAGCTGCTGTCGCAAAACTGATCTCAGAGTTCGCTGGAGAGATTTGCTGCGAAGAGGCTCGACTCATATCATAGGCATTGAAGGTGTGTGTCTCACCACACTTCATTTTCTGTTAAGCGTAATTTAGGTGATACTTCACTTCATTCATGTTTTGACCTCTCAACAAAAGAACCCACCAAACTTCTGCGATATTCCATTTTATTATTGATTCCATGATGGTCGGCTTTGCATCACAGGAATAATATTGAATTGTCTTTCATGTGGGTCAATAATATCTTATTCCATCCATTGATCATACACTTATAAAAAAAAGTCAACCAACCAATGAGTTGGTAGGTTGCTCACATGTCTTAATCAACCCACTTCCTAGGCTGTTTTGTCTCCATATTCATCACTGAAGGTCTATGTTTCCTTTTTCTGTTTTTTTATACCGTTGATCATAATACAGCCCTTACAGATTCCATTAGATAGAAATTAGAAAAAGGGAAAGAATAGGAAAAAAACTGATGAGAGCCAGCCATCTATGTATGAGAAGAAACAGAGAAAGAAAAGTCTAAATAAGAAAAACACGTCTCCTCCAAGGCCAAGAGAAAACACTGGTTCCTTCATTGACCCCATAGAAACACTAGAGCTGAGAACCACCACCAGAGGGTGGGGAGCGCATAAGAAGAGATGTATAAACTAGTAGCACCATTGCCTTGGTCGGTGACTCCGGTCGGACCCAAGACCGGAGTTCCAGGAAACACATTTGTTCCTGAACTTCCATTTGTCCCTGGCGGTGTGGTCGATGTTGGTGTCCCAGCATTACTGGTTACATAATTAGATCGGTTAGGATTCACTTTTAGTATGCAATATGTTGATAAAAATATTATACAACATAGTCAGAATTCTGAGTAGATCTCTCTTAGCCAGAGTTTTTGGCATAGCAATAGAAGAACACCAAAATAGAACCACTTTGGAAACCATACCTGGGGCTTGAAGGATAGACACACCCAGTAACCACAGCTGCAAAATTACACGACGGAAAGGAAAGAACATAAAAAAAAATAAACCAGACCCATTTTTTCCAAAAGATAACAGCTTTTTTCCATCAAACCAACGAGATTAACCTCAAAATTTGAACCTTTAGGAGCGCTGACTTACTTGGAGGAGGATTGGTGCTGATAGCGGCAGTGCTAGAGAAATTACAGCTCCCAGAGACTTGACCGGCTCTCTGGAAATAGCTGTTGACGGCCCAATCACAGTGGCTCTTCACGGTGTTGGGTTGGTAACATGCACCGTTCTGAAGGATGGGTGTGCAGTCTGCTCCTGCTCCACATGCATAGTCCAAGGATGACTGAAGCTGTCTGTCTCCAATCCCATCTCTACACAGACAGTATGTTGCACCTGAGCAAGAGGGAGAGATAATATGTTGAATAAAAAGGGCTGTTTTTTTAGAGAAACCCAATTCAGAGTATCATGATTGGTGGATACCCATATGAAAAAAACCCTTCCTTTTGTATGGAGTTTGATTGGGGAACAACAAAAGGAAGGATCAAAATAAAAGATGGGCCACGGAAGCTTACTTGAATAGTTAGTCAAGGCCGAGAGAAGCAAGAGGAGACCCAGAAGCACTCTCATGATGATTATAATCCCTGAATCTTGAGCCAAGCACAGACCAAGATGTTGGTAGAGAGAGAGAGAGAGAGAGAGAGAGAGAGAGAGAGATGAAGAAGTTTGGACAAGGATAGTTGAGATTATAAGTAAACCTTATAAGTAAAGGTTGTGGGTTTTTACCACGCAGTCTTAGTTTCCAGCCAGAATTGGAGACCAATATAGGCATACAACATGCACTAAAAGTTATGGTATGAGTCAAATCTGAAGCCATCTTTGATGTGGATTTCCATAGTGAATATCCAAATTTAGTTTAAAGGAATAAAATATGCCACTTGATTCTTGTATATGCGATTACAACAGTTTCCTTCGAATGTTTCATTATTAAAAAAAAAAAAAACACACAAGAAGAAGACAGGCTCACCAACTCGAGTTAATGCGGGCCCTGGTTGTTGCAAAGCAGCAAAGCCAAGTTTGGAAGTACAAAGAGAGAATCTTGTTATTCTCTTAAGCCTGTAAGATTCTTTGAAACAGTGTTGTAGGAAATATGAGTGATGCAATTGTTTGATCCTATTAAATCGTGTGTTAGCAAAACATTTTATGCGAGTTCAAAATGTTATTTTAAAATTTCACGTTAGGATAATGAGGATATTCCATCATATCTTTGACATCATGGTGATGCTGCTTAAATTTCGTTAGCCACCGATTTTGAATGGGGAATTTCAGAATTGTACAACTGAAATATATATTTATTAATTTCCTTTCCTTTTCCCCCTCCCCCTTCGCGTCGCGGTCTCTGCCCTTTGGTATATGGAACTTCCTGATTTTACAATTTTTATGACGAAAAGAGTCATCAATTAATTTATTAAACATAAATGGGGATGTAGCTCAAATGGTAGAGCGCTCGCTTTGCATGCGAGAGGCACGGGGTTCGATCCCCCGCATCTCCAACTTTTTGTTTTTGCATCTCTCATTGAACCATTTTGTACTTTTTTCCCCCAGAATTTGTAGTTGGTGAGCCAGGATTGACAAAAAAAAATAAAATATTCCAGAGGTTTTACTGATATATATATATCAAAGCATACGAATGTTTGGAGATGAAGAGAAAGTAGAGCTTGAAGCATATTCAGCCGAAAACTAGTGGTATTACAACTTCTTCTGACTGTTCAGTGGCATCGCAAAACAATAGGGAGGCAGAAAAAAAAACACATGGAAAAATTGTGAATGATGAAAAAAAATGGAATGGAAATAATAAAGCTACAGTTTTGTCCAGAAAAAAAAAGGAAAGAAAAATCAAAGAATCTTGAATCTACTTCTATTCTCTGTGGACCTCACTTTCCATTTTCTACAGCCTCCTCATCTTTGGTTCCCTCAGTCTTCTGAAGAGCACTCTGGAGAAAAAAACAAATGAGATCCGTCCAGAATTAGAAGGCATTGCTCTTCTAGGATCTGAAATCCATGTAGTTTCAAACCAGATGACAACGTAACGATCCCGGTTCATACCCACATCGAAAAGCATCTAAAGATTGAAATTTGGCAACCCGGTCCATACCCACATCGAAAAACATCTAAGGACTGAAACTTTGGCAGCCGGGTTATGTTAAACTCATTGCATGGACCACGTTCTTGATACGTATCAACAGACTTTTAGAGGAAAAAAACAATATTTTGCAGCATTTGGATTAGGTCTCTGATTACTTAAAGCTCGGATTTTGTTCAGGAGAAGTATAAGAGAAGGAGGGAGGGAGCTTACAGGTGAAGAAGACTGTACTTTGTGTTTGATGGGTGAGAGATGCACGTTGATGTCGCCTGAGTTACTTTTTCAGGAAAGGTTTCTGACAGACGAGAAGCCGCTGGTCACTTCCATCCTGAATGTCGATGACCCGTGCTTCCCATCGCACTCTAGTGGCAAATGCTCTTGCCATCTCTATTACCCCCAGCTTGTCGCTGATAACAACCCATCCCTGTCCATCATCAGACAAAGACGAAGTTTCAGTTTCGATGTCTCCACGAAAATCGAGGTTCAAAAACTCGGGGAAAACTTGGAATGCAATGGAAGTTGGTCTGAATATGGAAAACAATGGACAGAGATGTGTACCTCAGGGCGGAGAATCCGGTCCATCTCCAAGAACAGGTCCATCAGGCTACACCTTTCTGAACTAAGATGGGTGAGAAGTTCATTGGCATGAAGCATATCATATGTCCGAGGATATGTGGGGAATGGTTCACACCTGCACATGAATAAAGGGAGGATTACATCCGTGAATGGTTTCTAGGAATCGGGTTATGCAAATGTATCTTACAACAAGAATATGGATGGAAGTATTGGCTTTCATCCTCAAGATTGGTCAGATAGGGACAAGAATTCTTCTTGTTTAAGTTCAAATGCTACTCAGGCGCTGGTTTTTGCTTAGGTGGTCAGAAGATACCGAGAAAGATGTTGAAATGGAAACACACGCACCAGTCATGAAGAACACCGGCAAAACCACGATCAAGAACCATAGGAAGAGTATTGCGGGAATTTACTGGGATCACATTCATCACCCACGCAGATTTTCCTTCTTCAAGCAGGGCGGCATTCAAATTCCCATAACGTGCATTCATGTCCATCACGTTGCGTACCATGTTGAAAGGAGGGAGTGGATCTTCATCACCCGGTCTCTTCGGGTGGTCTGAGAAAATTAAAGGTGTAAGCAAAGACCAATAGTTTTTCAGGGCTAGCCTCCATACTTGCATGTCCTCAAAGAATTCTTCAGGTTTGATACCTGTTAAAAGAAATATCCAGGAAAAAAAAGTATGCTTAATGTCGGAAGTACAAGTGAAAATTGATTTGATGAAAACAAACAAACAAACAATTCTCGAACCGATACTTGCCATGAACTTCAAACTCTGCTGGTCTTGTTCCCCAAGCAGTGGAACTGTTCTGAATAGAAATCCAGCGTTTGCTTGTGGTTCCACTAATACATGAAACTAGGGGGCCATAGTATGGAATACTCTCTCCATCTTTGCAAAGAGGTATAGAAGCTTGCGGGCTATTCCAAGCAGAAAAGAAACAAAATCATCAGTGGGGGGCATTGCCGCCAAAGGATAGGTCATGGCTATGAGAGAAACCAAGCTCGGACAGGTAAATTGTTCCAGAGCTTTTGTATTTCTATATGAAAACAGAACTTCCAAAATACTTAGACATGCCTCAAGGACCCTGACCCTACTCACCGAGAAGAATAGCAATTTGAATCCGCTGTCTTTTGCCAAAGAAAAGTTTCATCCTGCTGAGCAATGAGACTCCAGCAAATATTCTTAGATAGCTCATCAACCCGTGTTGAGATGCTTGTTTTCTTAGTACTCGGCAAATTTCCCTGTGATTTGCTCGTAGGAGAAGTTAAAACAAAGTATCCCCCAGGCTTGAGAACACGATCCACTTCTAAGAGCAGCATTGCATCTGCTTAAGAGAGGCCACCGAAAGGAAAGCAACACCATCTTAGTAAAGCAACCGATTTTGTGCTCAAACTTCAAAGACAGTTGAGCTACCCCTTCGAACTCATAAGATGCCTTTCGAAGAAAAAAAAAACTGAAGAGTTACCTTTTATATCCCAAATAATGCCACATTGAGCACAATGGACCATGTCAAACGACAAAGCTGGATATGGAAGCTGTTTCGAAATGAAATTGGCAATCATGGCAGGAAGTCCTCTCTCTAGAGCTAACTGGACTTGGCTACCAGTGGCTTCATACTCTGCAATACAGATAGGCATCAACTTCAAAGACACGAGATGTGCTCCAAAGCTACCAAAGCCACAACCGATGTCTAGCACAGTCCGTACCTGTAAGTATTTAGAACAATATTAAGAGTGTAAACTTAACCAGCAGCCTGCTTTCAAAAGCTGGAGACAAAATCTAACAAGTAGGGTAGTCAAAATCAGACAAAAAGAAGACTTACGCCTGCTTCGAGAAATTCAGTGTCACTTCCTAAGCCTATCATCTCTGCAATTTGACGGGCATAGTCTTTGACGCCATCAAAGATCAAACCATCCTCTGAGTGAAATGCAATTTGATTCTCTTCAAGCAACATTAACCTAAAGATATATTGAAAAAGGATAAGAGCACAGAACAGAAACACGAAGGCTGCAAAGAAAGGTTGTGAGATTTAAAAAACAACAGGACCCGATGTTAACTCAAATGGGTACATCCCAAAGTACCTTTTTGTCATGGTTCCTGATGAAAGAAACTGGTCTTTGGTTATCTTCACATTTCCGCTCCATATAATATCTCTACCAAGCGGCCATCTAAGGGGTATCTTATAGTCCTTTGGCAGTCGGACTACACATCTTTTCTCTTCTCTTTCAAGCTCACAGTGTCGGTCAAACTCCTCATCGTCTTTAAGCCCAGCAAGCATATTGGATGATACGTTGTAACAAGGTACATGATTTTCCTTCTCTTTACCACACAAGGGAAACTCTTTAAACCGACTAGCCTCGAAAGAGAGAGAACTTAGATCCAGATAATCAACAGCTGCTTGCTCCTTTATCCTTCTGTAGTTGCTATAAAAGCTGGGTATCCGTGCTGAAGTTGCATAATCATATGAACTGGATGATGTAGATGTTCCTAAGATGGTAACTAGAGCAACAACACCAATAATAACTAACAGCAACCAGCTGATCCGTGGTCTAGGACCAAAAATGAGGGGAAAGCCCTTATACCTGGGACTTCTCATATCGAAAACTCCTCTTCTTTAACCCCGTTAATGGCTACCTCAATACAAATTTACTATCTAAGGATTCTTCTTTTCTTATCCGAGGGTTTGTCATCAGCTTTTCTTCATAACACACAAGCTTCTAACAAGTTCCATATGCATCCGTACATAGTTTCCCGTACTGAATAATTGTCTGATCTAGCCAATCCCGATTCACATCTACGGAAATTCGGTAAAATCAACACGAACTCCCGTAAAAGGTGGTCATGAACAGTGACCAGAATCCAAGGAACAATGCGGAGTTTCGCTTCTATGGATCAAATCAGGAAGAACGCGGCAAATGTACGCAGAATTCAGAACAAAAACACACGCGCCTTCGTTAAACCTCGATGTTGGCAATTGAACACAACTCGGCGATGGCGATTATGGAAACGAACCTGGGACGCAGCAGATCGACCACCTGCAATTAAATCTCGCAGATCAAAATAAAAAAAATTCAGAAAGAGAGACATTCCTTTTTTAGTTATTACATAGTGAAACGAAAACGAACTTCCTTTTCTTCTAAAAATCCCCGTTATCATCAAGCAAAAGAAGCCCGAAAAAGCTTTCTGGTTCTGTGGCTAAACCCAATCCCAAATCCGAAAAGATGAGATCTCGAAAATGGTGATGAGGATCAGAGATCAGATCAAAAGTGAATGCCGGAAGAACCAATCATCCACGACGAAAACACATCAATTAGGGGTTTTGAGGTGCGTACCAGTAATGGGTCGTTGAAAAGGATTCAGATTTCGTCTCAGAATGGCGAAACACGAACGAGAGAGAGAGAGAGAGAGAGAGAGAGAGAGAGAGAGAGAGAGTCCAGTTTTGTGGGGGCTGTAAGCTTCTGCTCTTGCGCAGAGTTCGTATATGATTGATGCAAATAAATGTGAAAATTAAGCAAGCACATTAATTAATAACTGATTTAATTAAATCCAAATTAACAGGCTAATTAGATCTGGGAAAGGCCGTAACTTCTATAACAAGAAAATCATTCTTGGTTTTTTTATATCCTCCTGCAAGAAAACCAGCAAATAAAGTAGCGGCGGAGGAATAATTGCATATAATGCCATCATGCTCTTAAATAAATTGGTCTCTGGTCTCTTTTTTTTTTTTACCATATATATTTTGTGACACACCCAAATATGAAAATATCTATGTGTGTAATCCTAGCTCATAGTTTTCTATAAGATGCATATAGTATGACCATTTTTCATCCAAAACCAGACATTTTCTTCTGTCCAATTCAACGTTACAAAAAGCAAGAGCATATAACCTCTTTTTACGCGTAATCAAACCGTACCAAACCGAGAAATATAGTATTTTTCTCAAAACAAATAGTTCAAATTTCTTGAACCATATTATTTTTAGAAAATCAAATTACGTGAAACCGAATCAAATTTTAAAAAACTCCCAAAAACTAAAAATTTCTTAAAAAGTATATATTTTTTTTAATAAAAACCAGAATCAAACCGAGATAAAACCAAAACCGAACCGAAATGATATAATAACCGTACATAGTTTTGTAAAACCGAAAGAACCAAACAGAATCATTCCTAAACCGAAACCGAACTATCTGAAACGCCCAGCTCTAATTACAACACTCACGGGAACAAAGCTTAGAACCATATCTCTTATGTTATCGGTACAACATCATTAGCTTCAGAGACAATAACCAGACAAAAAAAAACAATTTTTGCCCATAATTTAATCCAGAAAATGAGGTTAAAGGCTGCAAAAGATCAAAGAGGAAGTGTATATATTTCTCATCATCAATTCAAGCACTACCTCCAAGCTCTCTGTTCAAGTAATCCACAAACATTCTCTTTGCACTGTCTGCATCTGATGGAGGAGGTGGCCCGCTCAAGCTCGTTTGACCTGTCAACTTAACAAACGTTCTCTTTAACCTCCTGAGCTCTGGTAACCCGACCGGTCTAGAGATGGTAACTGAAGATAGCCCTTGTCCTAATGAAACTCTGTTCACTGACCCACCAAGTGCCTGTGCTTCCACGATCGCGTTGATGATTTCTTGAGTAGCCTTGTCCAACTCATACAGAGAATTCGCTTCCGAGAATCTCGTGGTTTGAGTAGCAATAGTGGGTTGGAGGATTTTCACGTCATGGGTTTTGGAATCAACTGTCTTGGTTAAATATGCCACTGCATCTGTAATAGCAGGAGAGGCTTTGTCAATTCCATCTCTAGAGGGGTTTAGCTCGAACAGAGGAGAATCCCATCGGTTTCTTCTTTCGGGTTTCTCGAATCTCCTCACCAAATCTTCAAATATGTTCTCGTCGTATGATGCCTCCTCACCTTTCTCTCTGCGTTCCTTATTCCACCGTCTGCAATGGTCTTCATCCACATCACAGTACAGAACACAGTATCTAATACCGGTGGCACGAGCAAGGCACCATAATTCGTATCTGTAACCCTTGATGTTGTTCAATGAATCCACGACAAGGATGCTGTGTCTTGAAACCGATCTATCAACTTCTGACCTAAGCACTCCCCTAAGGTTCTTCTCCGCAGGCATGTTAGCATAGTTCTGATTCCGGTCAAGATGGAACGAAGCCTCGTCGACAATCCTCACAGTCTGCTTCCATTCAGAATCCCTCAGGGCTTCGGCTAGGGCCTTTGCAGCTGTCGATTTCCCACTACAGGGCTGCCCACAAATCACAACCAGCGCCATTGATTGCACTAGATCTCAACACGAACACACTGACAAAAAATGCGACCAAAATCATATCAGTCGCAGTTCGAGGATTCGATTTAAAATAGGCAAACAGTTCTGAAAGTATAGGGGAAGATAAGCACGAGACAAGAAAGGGTAAACAATCCCAGATGCAAGAACAAGTGAAAATTCCAGAAATCCTCCAAACCATGAAGCCAGAAATTAGGATCAAACCCACAATAAAACCTCTGGAAAATGTATTATACGAATGATCGAATAAAGAAAAGCGATTGAAGATTATCTTCTTCGTCATAGTAGCCATCAAAAGAACGAAAAATCGATCCCAGCTAAAGCATCCGATGAATCAAAAGAACTCAAATTTACCAGCTCTGATTGCTCCAAATTTAAGGGGAGCCTTTTCGCGGTTTCGGTAATCCAAATACACGCACTACACGGAGGTCTGGGGCAGCAACAACCAGAAAGCTTCAGAATTTGGTAACGAGAGGTAAGGAATTGGGAATTTAGGGTTTATTGAATCAGATCCTGGGAGACCGGTTCATGCTCTTCGGTTTGGTCTGGTTAACAATTTTACCAAAATCAATTCGGTTTTGGTTGAAGCGACGCAATGTGCGAGGTGCTTGTAAATTGCAAGGGTGTTTTCGTGATTTCATCTACTTTTATAATAATAATAATAATAATAAGGTACAGCTCGTTACCTTAGAAGTAAATTGAAAAAGATATTCCTTCTATTCGAAAACCACGAATTCTAACCCTAGCCGCCTTCGAAATTTCCCAATTTTTTCATCAATTTTTTTCTTCGATTTCGCACTCCGATCCTCTCCTTCTTCTGGATCGATCTTCTAATCAGTTGTAATTTCAATTTTCCTCTTTGTTTGATCTTCCGATTGATATCTGTTTTTATCGCAGCCCCTCGCTGTGGTCAAATCTAGGGTTTGGTCATCCTTTTCACGATCGAAGTCTCCAAACGTTAGATCCGATTAAGGATTTGTTTCATTATTGATTCTTTCCAATATTCCTCTCGATTTCGGTTTTGATTTTCGACTTTTCCCTAATTTTTAATCGTTTTCAGCTCTTGTATTTTCGGACGCCCATACGGCTCGCTAGATCTGTAAATTATCAGAGGGCTTTTGTCTTTTCTCCTGAGATTTCACCGTTTCTTCATTTTTTGATTCGTGATTTGGTGATATTTGTCGCAAATTGAAATCTAGTGGTAGGGTTTCCTTTGGAATTGGGGATTTTTTTTCTTCCTGAGATTCAATTAGGGAAACATAATTTTCTGTTGTTAATTTATTGTAAGACTTCAATTCAGCTCCCCTATATCCATCAAACCTTCTAGAATCATCCATTTATCTACCATATTTGTCCTTTACCCAGTAGAACCACCTTTACCGTTTTAATAGGTAATTAAATGTCTCTCATAATGTTTTAAGACGTGCAGTTTAAATGGCTGTGGGAAATTCTAACATTTCAACATCAAGTAACTGACTTTACTCCTTCATGTTACGTTGTGCAGGTCAGATAAAATGGGATTGAAACGCCCTTTTGATATTGTGGATGGGCAAGAGTTCAACGTTAAGCATGCAAGACCACTTGCTCAGGATGGGCAAGAGTTCAACGCTAAGCATGCAAGACCACTTGCTCATGGCAATAACTTGACCCAATTAGATTTGGTAGTTCCATATCACGTTTCCTTTGGGAAACCAGGTGTCTTTGGTAAGATATCCCCTGCAGTGGCGCTTACACATCAATTGGTTTTCCTCTCTTCTGCTTTGGGTTTCACCCGAGACAATGCAGTAGCGTAATAAACTATGGTTTGTCTTGCATGATGTGTATCATTGCAGGGGAGCTTATGAGTGACCTATGCAGGTCGGAATGTGAGGAGATTGAAGGTGAGACTTCGAATGAATATGGAAATCTTGTTGACAAGGGTTTTGAGGCCAGCTCGTGTGATGAGGATGCTGGGTCTGGTGCGACGATTGAGTCATCCCTATCACACGAATCTCATGAGTTAAATTTCCCCTGGAGGCCACTTTCTCCTGTGGAGGATGTATATTCGTGTTTGCTGGATTGTTCTCCTAGGAAGCAAGTTCCCGTTGGTTCTAATTATCAGGCTGATATCCCTGAATTTGGTAGGCCTGCCAAGGAAGAGATTCTGGAGGACTCAGTTACAGCTCGGAAGAGTCATGGAGATGAAAGACTGATGGGAAAGTGCATAATTCCAGGTCCCAACTTTGATGCAACTGGAATTGAGGTTTCCAAAACTGGAAAAGGAAGAGAGGATTGCTTCTGCTGGGACAAGGGCTCCATCAGATGTGTGCGACAACATACCGTGGAAGCCAGGGAAGACCTTATCAAAACGATGGGGTATGGAAAATTTGTGAAGTTAGTTTTCTGTGAAATGGGGGAGGAAGTTGCCCGGAAGTGGGCTGAAGAGGAGGAAGATCACTTTCATGAGGTTGTTTACTCCAACCCAGTTTCACTGGGTCAGAATTTTTGGAAGAACCTAAAGGCGGCCTTTCCTTCACGAACCATAAAGGAGCTTGTGAGCTATTATTTTAATGTCTTTGTCCTGCAAAGACGGGCCGCACAGAATCGTTCTGAAAGCTTGGACATTGACAGTGATGATGATGAATGGCAAGTAGATTATGATACTTTTTATGGAGCCCAAGCTCCAGGTGAGGAAGAAAACACTTGCATGGCATCTTCTTTTCACCGCCACACTGGAGTAGAGTACGAGAGAAAGGATAATGAGGATGAACAGAAGGGCAGTGATGGTCACCGAGGTAACGTGGGAGATTGCTCTGGAAATGCGACTAAAGAAGATTCAATCGACAATATCTGTAATGTATATAATGACAAGGTTTCGAGTAAAGACAGGGATGAGGTAACCATCGAAGAAGATGACTCGTGTGCGTCTTTGGAGTTTCAAACCGGTGTGGTCTACAAAGAGAAACCCGACAACATGGGCAAATGTTGGCGCCATAGATTTGATGGGTGTGGAGATCTCGTCAATCAATTGTATTCATTCGGTGCGTCAAACCTTTGGACCAAGAAAATTGATCTTCTGCCAACCTCGAACATGATCGAGGAGATATTCGGCCAAGATGACTGGGAAGACAGTTCCAGGGGAAGAAGTTAATGAGGAGGAGGGCTCTCTTCTCGGTGTTTCATCTCTCTCTTGTGTGTAAATGCATTGTTTTGAGAAGCATAAGCTTAAAGTTCCCTCCTTTGAATCATTTGGTTAGGACCAGGTTGGAGGAGGAGGAGCTCATGTTGGGTTAACCATGAAATTTGTACAGCTAAGTGTCTTTTGTCCTTTGTATATCTAAATTAGTTTCCCCTGTAAAAAAAACAAGAAAAAAGCAGAAAGTTTGTGAAAATCATCCAGGTTGTGTAAAAAAGCTCAACTTTTTGTCATAATTTACAAGTTTCGTTCTATTGCTTCTAGCCTTGTATAATAGTGGGGAACGAATTTAGGCTCAATAAGGTATAAGTTGGGCCGAATTAATGGGCCTGGCCTGGCCCAGTAAAATTAATAATTTATGAGTATAATGATAAATTAACTACCGAAATGAAGATCAATGCACTTCCAACCGTTTTTTCATGCCGCGTTCGCTCTGTCTCCACTGAGTCCGGCGACGACTATAACTATTCTCTCACCTTTTTCACGCGCTAAGAATAGAAATCGGTGCCCTTCTCTTCTTCTTCCGTGAATAATTTCATATATGTAACCGAGGCTCTACCGACCTTTCTCGAGCGTAACCGATGGCTCATTTAAGGGTTTTCGTTCTTCTGCTTCTGATCGATCTCTCCCTCGCCAAAACCGTAAAACGAGACGGTGATTTTCCTCGAACATTGTTCTCGTCTCTTATGTTATGGACCGTCGAGTTGTGATATTTCTGGTTTTTGTTTTTCGTTTTTGAGGCAGTGAGAGCGTTGAATGAGATAAAGACTTTGCTGGGATGGAGAGTGGTGTACTCCTGGGTCGGAGATGATCCTTGCGGAGACGGAGATCTGCCTCCGTGGTCAGGTGTCACTTGCTCCACTGTCGGCGATTATCGTGTTATCACCAAGCTGTAAGCTTTTCGAGCTTTGATTCGTCTTTTCCCATCGTGGGCTGCTGGAAAGTTTGAGTTTTGAGTTGCGTATTTCATTCTGGGTTTGTGATCTTTTTCAGAGAAGTGTATGCAGTATCGATCGTGGGCACTTTCCCAATGGCCGTGACGAATCTATTAGACCTCACTGTGCTGTGAGTGTGTTTGTGTGTTGATTCTTTCGTTTTTCATCTGGAGAAATTGTTGAGAAGATGAAGATTCAGCTCAGAGAGCGGTGGCTGTTTAAACCAATTGAATTATGAACTGGTGCGCTGATATGTGCAGGGATCTGCACAACAACAAACTGAACGGACCAATTCCTCGTCAAATCGGGCGGCTTAAGAACCTTAAGATACTGTAATAATGTTCTTCACACCCTTCTTTCAGCTCTTTCTGTGATCGCCCCTTTGTGTTGATTCCGCCCGGTTTTGTGTTTGTAATGGAGAAAGTAACCTGAGGTGGAATAAGCTTCAAGGTGTCCTCCCTCCTGAAATTGGTGAATTGAAGAGACTGACACATCTGTGAGTGACTCCACTCTTATGTCATTTTTGGAATGTGAGCGAATTCCTCTCCAAGTTTGATCCTTTTCTTTTCCTTGGAAAACAACTGCAGGTACCTTAGCTTTAACAATTTCATAGGAGAAATCCCCAAGGAGCTTTCAAATCTCCCCGAGCTTCGGTATCTACATCTTCATGAGAACAGATTAACAGGACGGATCCCACCCGAGCTGGGAAACTTACAAAACCTCCATCACTTGTAAGCTTCAAACAGTCTTGTAACACTGTTCACCAACTTCAGATAAATAGTTTCAGATCTATTTAACAACATGAGTGCTGGTGCATGATCTTTGTGTGTATCTGTAGGGATGCTGGAAACAACCATTTAGTGGGTACTATAAAAGAACTTGTAAGGTTAGAAGGATGCTTTTCAGCTCTTCGAAACCTGTGAGTGAGAGCTTAGACTTAGCTACTGAATCAAAAAGCAATCACCACCAATCTGTTTCTGAATTTAAGGTCTTATGAACTTTGTCTGTAGTTACCTGAACAATAACTATTTGACGGGAGGGATCTCGTTCAAGCTTGTGAATCTAACAAACCTAGAGATCTTGTAAGTATATGAACCATACCTTTCGGTTTACGAATACCGACTTTCAGTCATCCCTATTCATTTTGTGGTTTTTCAAAGCTGGAGTTTAAGCTTCATGAATCTGCTTCTCTCTTTAACTGCAGGTACTTGTCCTACAACAGAATGACTGGAACTATACCATGGGAACTTGCCCAGATACCGAGACTAACCTACTTGTAAGCTCCACTTACTGAATTTCTTAATGTGAATCCATAACTGAAAGTTGATTTGAGACAGATGGGCATGATGAAACAATCCAACATATTAATCGATAAGGCAGAACACCGACATCATCTCTGTTCCTAGTTCAAAGTGTGAAGAATGTCGGTGTCACTGCAGTGGAAAACAAAAGAGTTCTTGAACCTTTTTTTCGGCACGGCTTATCTTGAGTTATTTCTCAGGTCATTCTCTGACAATCTTATATGTTGGATTGAATTTTCAGGTACTTGGATCACAACCAACTCAACGGGAGAATCCCCGACGCCTTTTATGAGCATCCCTTCCTGAAAGAAATGTATGTTTCATGAACTCAGTGTACCTCATATTATGACACCATTCTTGATTAATATGTATGTATGTATGTTTCCAGGTACATGGAAGGAAATGGTTTCAAGCCAGATGTGAAACCAATCGGTGAACACAAAGGCCTCGAGCTTTCTGATTCTGATTTCATAGTTTAGCCTTCAGACAGATTACAGAAGTCCTGTTTGGTAATAGCTATAGTTTTTGTTCACAGGGTTCATATTCTTGATTGAATAGAAAGCATCTTCTCGCCAAGAACGAAGAATTATATCACCGTGTATTTTTTGTTGGGAATATCCCAAATAATACCTGAATTTTTCAATTTTTATAAAATAAAACCTAAACTTTGTTTTTTATCAAATAATATCTCAACTTCATTTTTCACTTAAAAATAAACCCGAACTTTATAATCTTTGTCATTTTTAAACATATTGCTGATATGACGTTTCGATATCCTACATGACAAGTCAGTAGGGACTGATTCTATGCCGGGGAATCATCGTTCACATGTCACGATATCAGAATCAACAATAAGATTAAAAATGACAAATATTATAAAGTTCGCGTTTATTTTTGAGTGAAAAATGAAATTGAGGTATTATTTGATAAAAAACAAAGTTTAGGTTTTATTTTATGAAAATTGAGGAGTTAATCTTTTTTTTCTAATAGTTTTTGCATAATTTCTTAGTTGGGCTTTGATTGAGCTCAAACAGACCAATGGGCCTCGTGTTGGCCCAATTGAAACGGCTTTGCTTTCGGCCATCTATTTGAGCAAACTTTTTTTCAGACAAAAAAATAATATCCAGAAATAGAAGGAAGGCATGATCCTAAGCAGATTCACTCATCTCTCCCACCCGAACTTCATTCTCCATGAATCTCGATTAACTCAATCTCCTCGTATCTCCAAAATTCAGTGCTCAAACACATCATCATCATCATCGTCATCATGTGGTGTAACGTTTCGCCATCTGCTCCACCAGTCCGCCTTCCCTCTCGCCGCCTCACTCACTCTTCTCCTCTCCCCCTCTCCCGGTAACTACATCCTCTACTTGTGAATGTTCGCGTATATGTATATGTGCAGCATGTATGTATGTATCCATGTATGTATGTATGTATGTATGTATAATGAAACACATGTGTTGGATACTGCGGCAGCTTCAGCAGGGCTAATGTCGGGATTCCCCGGCATAGAATCAGTCCCTGGTCCCGAATTGCCTCAAATCGACTTCCTTAATCGCTTCAACGGTACATATTTTGCTTACCCTTTTAATATTTGGACAAAATCTGTTGGTTTCTGCCCAAAACAATGATCTTTTCTGCAGAAGCAAACCAGAAGATGTACGCAGAAAACGATGCCAGATTCAAGGAATCTCCTTTGCTCAAGAAGTTGCTTGAGAAGTCCAAGCAGAACAAAGAGAAGTAAGTATTTTCACCAAATCCCTCCATAGTTAACGAGTGAATCTTGATGGGTTTTTTTTTTTTCTAGTTTCTGTTGATAATGGTAGCAATCTTTCTTGACAGTTCTCCCATGGGTTCATCATCTCCTGCATTCATCTGTTTCTTTCCATGAATCTAAAAAAACAGTACTTGGGCTAGTGTGTTTTTTGGGTCAAGGTTTGAACTTTGGTAATAGGGTTGACACCATTAGTTTCAGACAATCGTTTGAACAGCTTACTGCTCCGTTTTCAATTCTATCCATTACAATGTTATTACCCACTTGAAACTTATAACAACTGTGTTTATACCAAAACCGGCTTCTTTCTCCTTAAGGAAAGTTTATCGAAACTCTAAATTCTCTCAAGTTGTAACCACCTCATTCACCCGAAACTGTAGTAGACTCCCTTCCCTTTTGAGGATATTATTTTATTCCGAAATCGGTTTGTTTTAGAGGTTGAAATCCCTGGATGATTATCATAAGATACCGTATAATCCGAGGTTATGAAACTCTCTGTTTCTTTGATCTTAGGAATGAAAGAGAGGTGCAAGACAAGTACTGCTTAAGAGGAGCCGAGTGGGGAGTTGGGGATTGCTCAACAGCTGGGATGACAGAGGAGGAGAAGGAGAAGTTCATCGCCATGTTGAAAGAGAAGGCCGCCGCTCCAAAATGAATCTAACCATCAAATCATTCATATACATATATGTATGCAAACATTGATCGAAACCATATAGATAATGAATGTTTCTTTAAGTTCTTGCTTAGCCAATGGTTTTTGATTCTGTAGCCATTCTCGAGACTTATCTCTTTCCGAAGTCCTCCTTTCGGCTTTCATCAATTCTCTCTCGCCCCCGAGAGAAGCGTGGTGGGCCACACTAGGCCCATCGTATCTGTATTTTGGGCCTTAACATATAAAGCCCATGTGAGTTTTTGCTATGCATAATGGGCCACGCCCGGCCCATTAGATAATATTTTCTTTTACGAGTAAATAAACCACGTTTTATTTTATTTTGAGCATCCCAGAAGTATATACATACAAATCTATAGGAACCTCAATTTTAATTTAAGAAATAAATCGTTTTGGAGTTAGATGTAGAATCGTTTAGGCACTTTTTTAGATATTTTGTTCACTTTGCGATAAATTGCATTATATTTTGTAGATATATAATTGATTATAAATTCTAACATGAGAGTACAAGTATACTCAGTTTCAAAATAGATTAATATAATACGTAAATTGATTTTCCGAAGAAAAAAATATATTGATATATTTACTATTATGAGACAGAAAAAGCATTACAGAATTCACATGCAATAAAAGATTATGAAAAAAATTCAGAATTGATTCGAATTATTGAATGGAAAATTAATATTTGACATAATGCCATAACTAAAATTCTATATTAAAAACTGGACAACGGTGGAACAAATGCGAAAAGACGGACCAAAAGCCCAGAAGCAAAAGGTGGGTGGGACATGAAAAATAAAATAAATCCATAAATATATAAACAAGTGGAAACTGAAAATATGTTTGTTTGTTTTTTTTGTGTGCGCGTTTGTGTCGGAGAGCTGATTCGATGTACCAAAAGATGTCTTTTTACTTGATTGGTTACTCTCAAGTCAAAATCTTTTCCTCCCCTCACGCGCCCCTTCCGCGCGTGCATTCCACACCAAATTTGCAGGCAGAAACTGAGAAAATAGCCTCCAAACCCAAATGACAAAACGGTAAAAAAGAACTCAGCCATCGATTGATCCAAGAGTTGTCGTTACATTAAATGAATGATAATTGCCAAAGCATTCACCTCGTAAAATGTTATCTTATCTTACAACGAAAACATCATCATCAATGGCACTTCCGTTTCACCTTCTTCATCTTTCACCTTCTCTACCACGATTCGATCGCCATTTCCCAGAAGAATCTCAAAAGGGTATTGTTATTAACACGCAAATGATGTATGGGAATAACGATTACCAGTAGGAGGACATCGTTGTCTTCTCGGCCTTCTCGTCATCTTCCCCCATCCTGTAAGGTTTCTATCTTCTAAACCAGCTTCTATATCGCCATTGCCGTTGTTTAGATGTTGACCGGATGGGGGAATGGCTGTTATATGCCTTCTTCTTCTTCCTCGGGTCGAGCCGGTTTTCCGTCTTGCTGAACTCGAAATCCACGTGATTCCCATTGCTCTCATGAATCCGTCGAACATCTGGATATCTTCCGTAACTTCGTGCCTCGAAAGAGACATGAGCCCCGGGAGAATGTCCCTTTGGAAATCCCTCCTCTGCCTTCCCCTTCTCGAGCTTCCTCTTCTAGGTCGTTGGCCCGAAACCAACGCAGGCCCCGAGGGCTCCTCGAATTTGAGGCCTTCCGGAACCGATGACTTGGGCATGTACCCGTCTTCCGTGACCTCGGGTAGCTGCAATGTCATTGCCTCGAAGTAATCAACCTCTTCGTCGATGGAAGATGATGATGATGCACCATTGTTCTTCTGGGAACCCTTACTTGTCAAGAAAGTGTCGAGCTTTTGGTCAATATTCTCTCCATGAACGTATATTGTTTCAGCAAACCATTGCAGGATATGCTCAGAAGATTCTGCTGAAGATGAAGGACGAGCAAAAACTCCAATAGCTGCTGTATCTCTGAGCTGACAAGCTGAAGAGATTGTCACTATTGCCTCTGCTGCCATCTTCTCTTGTTCTTCCACCGGTTTCTGAGTTTCTTCGGGTGCATCGTCTTCATCAGACTCGAGAATTGCAGGAGCTTCCAGATCTATCATGGGTACCTTTGCATTTAATCTTGAACCGGGAATCGAAGAACAGTCTTCATCTTCAGTAACAGACATGTTCAAGTCAATCTGAAACCTAAAACCAGCAGAAATCTCTGTCCGGGTTTGATCCTCTGTTGATCGATCCTCATCTGAGAGAACAGCTTCAGGATCACAGGGAACGTTGATGTCAAACATCCGAACGTTATGCCCCTTACCTTTTTCTCCATTGAATTGGTCTCCATATCTACAAGGTTCATCAAAAGCGGGTCGCCCGATAATTTTTCCATTAGCCGAGCAGTCAATAGCATCGATATTCTTGGTCCCGGAGTTATCGGAACAAAGAACAGATCTCCAATTCTCAGAGCACAAACCATTCTGAGCTTTGTTCCTCGGGTCATCATTGATTGCCGGGGAATTCAGAGTACAGCCAGTCATAGGATCACATTGCCCACCAGCTATCTCACTCTTACAAGCAGGCTTGGAATCTAGCCACGGTAAAATGGCCAGATGCCCTTTCTCTACGTTTGAAACCGTCACATTCAAATCCACGTCTCTCGCAGGCTTCATCTCCGAGCCATATGAATCCTGGTATATGTTTCCCGGGCTGTGTTCACTTCTCCCGTTCACATAACCATAGCCTACTGCCAAAAAGTTTGATTGAATTTCTTTGGAAGCAGAGGAGGACCCGAGGTAAAACCCGTTCCTGCTATTCCCGAACCCCATGTTAAACCTAGAATTGTTGTCAGACTGCGACTTGTCCATGAGAAACCCCTGTTTCTGAGAATCACTGCCACTCAGAGGGTTGGAAAAGTTTTGAAACGGGTGTATCTGAGCTGCGCCTGACCCAACTTCCCGAGGGAAGAATCCAAAACTAGAGTTTCCCCGAGATGAGTTCAAATGGTTCCATTGTTGAACAGAAGCAGGAGGGTTACAGGGATGCAAGCTATGAGCGTTAGAAGCCACACTTGATTCCAAGTGACTTTGATGGATGATAACTTCACGACTACTCGTGTCGGCTTCTAGATCAATAAACGTCCTCTCTCTCCAACCCGAATGAGGAAATTCGAGAACTTTCCGTGAATTATAAGACGTGACTTGCGTAAGATGGGATGAACTCAATGCCTTGGCCGGTTGAAGAAATGGGTAAGCAGATTTCTGGATGTCGGTATAATGACCTGTAAATGAGAAACTGTTATAGCATTGAAGAAAACAGAATCCATGTAAATCCGAGTTTGCAGATCAATAAACATCTTACCGACTCCCAAAGACTGAACTTTCTGAACCCCATTCTTGTCTGAATGTTGAGAGATACCAGTAAGATGTTCCCTTTCACTACCCGAATGAAGTGATACTTCCATGGACGGTATCTTCATTCCGTTGCAGAGATTTTGGCCTTGAAACTCACTGTTACATGAATCACGGGGATATCCATATGCAAACCCATTTGCTTCTCGAGCCTTCTTGATTGGTTCATTCAAGTCACCCAAACAATTGCTGCTCCGAAAATCTGAACTGATCCTCAAAGAATCTCCCTGACATTCAACTTTCAAGTCCCCATCAGGAAGATGACTTGAATTGCCACTAGTCCTGTAATTATCTTTAAACTCAACGGTTTCTTCGGTATCGATGTACTCATCAGCCGGAAGATGAAGATCTATCATCATCATCTTTTTCCTGGCTTTTACAGGTTTAACCTCCAATAGTTCAACATCCTTCGAGCAAGATCCATTTTGTGATGGAACTGGGCCTACTTGAGAATTGCTTCCTTTCCTGGAACTCATTGGGGAGTGGTGACCATTATCCTCAACCACCGACATGGATGGTCTATCGTAAACCAAATTGGCCGATGGGAAATTCGGCATTTGCCATTTCCGGGCTTCATCATAAGTAACTTGAGACAGTAAGGGGCTCGATGAAAACGATGCCCCGACTAAAACCCGGTTTCTACTTATCTCTTTCCTTTTCAATTCATCCATCATTTCCCTCTGTATTCTGTACAGGCGGTGAAGTTCATAGACCTGAATCCAGGATCAGATTGACACAAAGAAACTAAGTAGAGATGGCAAAACCGAAATGCCAAAGAAATAGAGAACTGAAGATGTCAGAAAAAGTATACCTGACTCTTAAATACAGCCTCATGTTCAAGCATCGTCCTTCTGACTAAATCTTTTTCATACCCGAGGTATGAATCTGCCATATTCCTCGGTGGGAAACCATTATAGTATTGACTATTCGCTAAGCTACAACCACTAGAATCTTCGTTGAGATCCCTCATAGAGTGATGATATCCCGGCAATAAACTTTCACGCTGCACTTTCGTTCCCATTCCTGGTAACAAAAACCAAATAAGAAATGCCTCAAGAAGTTTCCTTCATGGATATAAACAACGAGCAGAAAACTTTGCCAACACAGATTTACCATCTGAACAATATAACTTGGCCCTTCCCTTGAATCATCTCGCTAAGGCAAGAAGGTATAAAACAAAACAATGCAATAATACCACCACCAACCCGCTCACGCTATGCATATAAGCTTAACGACTTATACGATCATCACTCAGAACAATACAAACCTCGGCGTTGAAGCTCGTAAAGAATGTGAAATGGAATACTAAGTTGAACTAAGGGCTATACCCGGGTTCTAGAACAATTGTAAGCTCAAGAAATGGAATATTTGATTGAACTGAGCTAAACCAGGGCCTTCTAGAAGAATTACAAGCTCACTGGTGCTAATAACTCTGTGTGAGAGCTTTCAGCATTCAGGACAAAAGGCAACATTACCTAAAGATCTAAGCAACAGAACAAGCCTTGTAATATTCCTACAGCAGCATCTCCACGGAACCAAACAGTATATCTATACAAACACAGGAAGATATTCATTCATCCAGAAGCACATGACCAAAGCATAGGTGTATATACCGAATTCTCAAAGGCGTATACACACATCCGTAGAGAAATCGTCTCCGGAGTCAAAGTGTACGAATTCTTACAAAAAATAGTCAAAGTTCAGCAAAGCTAGATACAGATTTTCCACAAAAAAATAAGCGTGAAACAGTAGAGAGAAATGCATAAGCACACAAGAAAACGAAACTTGGATAAGCAAACGGCAGAAAATGGATTGAAACCGATTGTGAAGCTTTAGGGAATGGAATTTTTTTACCTCAGACCCACATCCTCTCATCGCCAGTCCTCGACACTTTCACAGAAAAATCTGATTCCAAACAGAGAGAGAGAGAGAGAGAAAGGGAGAAAATCTCGTAATCATAGAAAATTCAACCTCAGCCGCAGAGAATTTGGAACCCAAACAAAATATGGGAAACGAGGGAATATATTTATAGCGGAAACGCCATTAAAGGAAAAATTTAGATCGAAATCTTCGATCTACTGGGCCACTCTCTCTCGGATCAGAAAAACCCAAATTTCAGGGGAAGAAAAAGGCAATTTCCTTGTTTTTCATCTACTAGTGCGATAAAGAAATTGTTGTTTACAGAGAAAAAAGAGAGAACCCAGATGAGAAAATCACACAAACAAACGACCCTTCTAACAACAGCGACATAAAATCAATATTTTTTAAATTTAGAAAATAAAAGAGTAAGGAGAAGAACATGAAGAAGAAGAAGAAGAAGAAGAAGAAGAGGAGAAATGGGCAATGTCTAGATTCTCTCCATCTTTACTTGCTTTTTGTATACCTATTAAAAAATAATTAATCATTTACTACCTTTCTTTACAGGCAGAAACATGATATAAAAATATAATATATTATTAAAAAAAGAAACAAATCAGAAATTCCTGTGAATATTTATTGTTTACCATAACTTCCACTGCGTCCCTCGTTTGTGTCCCCAAACAAAAACTGTGTTATGCTTCCTTTATAATTAGTTAATTAATTATATTGGTAATGTTCCTTTGCTGAGGATATTAATCTATTTGGTTTTTTGTTTAATAGAAAAAATTTACTGCTTTGCCATGATTAAAAAAAAAACTTCAAAACAAAGATAAGGCAATTCAGCTAATTACACAATTAAGCTGTAATGAATCAACTAATTACAGCACACAAATTGTGTGTGGACCCACTTGAATACGTTCTCTCCCGTGGGTTCAATGCTAAGAAAAACAAGATAACCCTCGAAGTTACCGATAATTACGAGAATGGGATTTCATCGTCCTTTTGTGCTGATTGGTTTGTCCTTTGGTTTCAATTAGAGGTTCAATCGGGTCATTGAAAAGCTTGTATGCTTAAACCCTCCACGTGGCTTCCTTTTTAACACATAAAACGTCGTCGTTTTTGGCGTCTTGCATGGGGAGAAAAGCGAGTGTTCTTACATTTTTCATGGGAAATTTGGTGGTTATATATTTAAAAAAAAAGATTTGTCACTTTAAAAAATATCCTTTTACTATTATGAATTTTTTTCTTATAGATAAATTTTTGTTTTTACATAGTTTCGTTTTTGCCAATATTTTTAAAACAAGAACGATTTTGCAGTGAACTATGATGAATTCGACATGATTAAATTGCGTCACTTTCCTTTAAAAATGATATTTTGGGTTTAACCAAATTGATGATATCTTAATCCGTGTTATCCGAACTAATTAATTTTTATTTGGGTAAGTTGGAATTAGACCTTAAATAAAAGGTGATCCAAAAATGCACATCCGGAAATGTCGTTTTCGTTGGGGGGAAATAAGCAGTTCAATGCTATATTTATTAAGCCAAGTGATTAGTCAAGGGTCGCATCTTGGTGGGGCCCTTACATTGATTTCCTTAAAAATATTATTTCCATATATATGCACACACAGATACACACATAAAGTCATATGTGATGTTACACTATTTGTCTTCTATATTATATATATATATATATAAGAAGTGAACGAACCACTGAAAGTTATAATAAAAATAAGAATATATGCGTCACGCGGTTATCCTAGTATTGTTGTTTTTGCGGCTGAAATTAAGAAGTGATTAAGATTATTTTGGGGGGTTTAATTTTAAATTTAGAAAAAATATTATTTATATCTATTTTTATTTTGATTACACAAATTTTCCTAGATCTTGTCCGTCATACATAAAGATCTTATTATTTATTATTGGGATAAAGCTATTTTTTTGTTATAGTGTTCGATGAATTCTATATTATTATATACTGTATATTATTTAATGCACAAATTAGTAAAATTTTAATTTTATATTATCGTAAATGTATGGCCCATTGGGCCGATTATGTAAGGCCCAACACAGTTTGCCGGCTATGGTGTTCATCATATGTATTCGACCCGCTGCTTCACTTCAGCCGCTTTGGGCCTTAGACCCAACTTAAATACCCAAACTAATTGGATAAAGGCCCAAATCTAAGCCTAGCCCAGCCCATTTATCTTTTGCATTAAAAAAATATTTTAGGATTTATAAGAATCCGAGTCCTTGTCATTTGTTGGCTGGAATTTGTCATTAGCCAACTCTGGGCCCACAGCATCTTTCATCATCCAATCATTTCATTCGCGTCGAATTTACGCCTCTGCCACTAAATTATTTCTTTCTTTTTTAACGTTTTTTTTTTATAAAGTCTTTTTTTAACAAGTTGTTGCAACGTTTCCATTATTAGGATACTTCTTTCAGTTTTTTATTATGATGTTTATTATAATTATATTGATTTATTGAGTTGAAATCTTATTTTATCTGTATTTGATTTGTATTACAACATTATTTTTAAACTGGTTTTATTTCTATTAATTTTTATTTACTTTTTTATTTGATTTGATTTTTGTTCATTTAATTTGAATAAATTTTAAACTCGGATTTTATTTAAATATACGACTATATATTATTTGATTTAGATTGATTCGGTCGGCCCTGTATATTTAAATAAAAATATTTGTATTCATATTTGTAACAAAAAAAAAATCATCTAAAAAAAGGGTATTATTTTCTCATCTAAACGCAGTTGATAAATCTTGCCAAAAAAACAAAACGTAATTATCTCAAAATTAGTTTCTTAATCTACATTTTTAAATTTTGGAAGACGAATTCAAACTACGATAAAAACGCTGATGATTAGCGAAAGCAAAATTACGGAAACACCCTCGTCTTGCATTTCTTTCTTCGAAGCGTTGCCACCTGGAGAAATGTGACGCCGCTTTTCTCACTCTGCTGTATCACACAGCTTTTAGCTGCACATTTGTCTCGTCTCTCTCCCTCCCACAAGCCCACCCCGGGGAGAGAGAGAGAGAGGGAATGGAGAAGGCATTGACGAAGGTGACGAGCTTGAAGGTGGGAAGTTCATGGATTACGAAGAAGGCGAAGGATGAGCTCTCGAACATCACCAATGACCTCACTGTGAGTACTTCGACTGGATCTACTCTCGCTTCGCTTTTCTGTTCGTCGTTGTTCTTCTGGGGTTTTGCGGTTGTTTGGGACGCGACTCCGTTCTGAATCTGGTAATGGATGTCTGGAATCGGTAGAAGAATCCGAGATCTGTAGAGATTCGACTCATATCATTCGAGATGAATCCTCGAGATTAAACTGGAGATAGATGAAAGTATTAGAAATACTAGTCCCATTCGAGCGGGAATTGGATAGCCGACTCTGAGCCTTACGTTGATAATTTCGCAATGTTCCCGAATTTGATCTTTGATTTCCGGGAATTCAGTTCAGATAGTTCAAGAGTCACAAGATCGAGTTTAGAAACAATGAGGACCACAGGAAGAGCTCGAATTTTCAAATTCAGCCCAGTAGGATCTCCATTTGATGAACGGAACGATTCCGTTGTGTAGGAAGATGAGAGACTCACAAGGGTTAAAGATGATTTTCGATTTAGGAGAGTTCCATTCATTCATTGTTTATGAGAGGGGACCGATTCTTTAGTAATGTATCGAGCTATCTATACAATTCGAGCGAGATGCATTGCTTATAAACTGATTGAGCTCTGAGTGAATGCCCACATATGATATGATCTAAAGAAGCCGTTTACGTAAATCGACCCGACATTGTGAAAAAGTTGACATCTTTATGGAAAATTCTTGATTTACAGCATGCGTAGTGTGTTCTTGGGGATTGAATAGTAACACCCAAGATCAATTTGCAAGTTGCTTGGATGTATCCTGATATGGTAACAGATTGTGCACATACATTTCTGATGTAATAACAATGTTTTCTTTCCATTTTCAGACTTTCTCTAGCACTGTTGAAGAGAAGGCTAAATGGGTTTTCAACAAGCTGAAAGGTACAAGATCATACTCTTTTCTTTCTGGTCAATCACATTATGTTGGCACATCAAACTCCTCGTGAGAATCGCCATTGGCAAAAGCTTCATAAGCAGTTTGTAACCTATGGACTTGTCTGATCTTCAAGACCTTCGTATTTGCACCAGTGATGCATTTAGCTGCAGTGACGTAACTGGTTGGACCTGACAAATTCTGATGGAAAACAAACATTTCGATCTCTTTCCC